TGTCCAGATGACCCAGATCAGTTCTCTTGGAGACAATGGCTGCTTTGGGCAGTGGATTCTATGGCATTATAACCTGCTGAGGTCCCTCCTCACCCCAAACCCTGCCCTCCCCAGGCTCTACCCCTCAAATCTACAGGTATTTCCCAACCCAGAGTTGGCAACTGTGTAATTGGCTACGGAACCCTTGGAACCCAGAAACCGTGGCACAGGAGGAGGTGCTTTTCTACCTTAGCTGTGACAGCATAGCCCCAAATTAACATAAGCCAACCTCCAGGCAGCACCTGGAGATCTCCAGCTATTAAAACTGATGTCCAGATGACCAAGATCAGTTCTCCTGGAGACAATGGCTGCTTTGGGCAGTGGATTCTATGGCATTATACCCTACTGAGGTCCCTCCCTACCCCAAATCCTGCCCTCCCCAGGCTCTACACCTCAAATCTACAGGTATTTCCCAACCCAGAGTTGGCAACCTTGTAATCGGCTATGGAACTACTTTCCAGACCCTTGGAACCCAGAAAACATGGCACAGGAGGAGGTGCTTTTCTACCTTAGCTGCCACTGCATAACACCCCCCTCCCCCTCAAAAAATAAGTCAGAGGTGGAGAGAACCATATCTGTTACCATGAGGCTGTCCTCCCATTCTACCCACTTGGGGCAGCAAAATGACTTGAGACAGCCCTGCCTTATAGCTAAGCAGAAGGAAAGAAACATGGCTTGCCTCCCTCCATTTTCCACTTCCCTCTGCCGCCCCACCAGCCACAGTCGGGACACTCATCTGGAGCTTCCTTCTAGATCTCGTTGTATTTCTTCCCACAACAGGCATTACTCCTAGTAGGCTATAATGGAGAATCGATCTGGGGGTATCTGGAGCTCGGGAGGAGTTGTTTTTTGAAGTAGAGGCACCAAATTTGCAGCATAGCTGCTGGTTCCTCTCTTCAAAACCCCCCCGAAATTTCAAAAAAATTGGACCAGTTGTGGCGATAAGATGTCAAGACTTGAGCCTTCTGCAAATGACACTGCACAGGTTGAAATCAGTATGCACAAAGAGTGAGTGGGCACACAGGCACTGGCCTTGCCCCTTGCCTGCATACAGTTGTTGGCTTGTGAGCACATGCCAGAAGTGTATGTGTATAAGCGCCTTCCCTATGGTTGGGAAACCTTTTTCAAGTGTTCCTGATTACAGGCATGGAGTCAACGTATGCACATGCTGTGCCTGTGAGCCAGTGGAGCCAGAACTTGCATGCTTACTGGTCCTCTGTGCATGTTGATTTCAACCTGTGCAGTGTCACATATAGAGGGTTCTGATGCAAAGGATGTCAAATGGCTCAGAAAGAGTGACCTTAAGTACAGGGGTCTTCAGGCTTTTGGAGCCTGCAGGCACCTTTGGAATTCTGACACAGGGTGGTGGGTTCAATTACAAAATGGCTGCCACAGGAGGTGTAGTCAACTGCAAAATGCCAGAGAGTGAGGCTAAGCATAATTTATTTATTTACTGGATTTTTTACCCTGCCCTCCTAGCCACGGCCGGCTCAGGGCAGCTTACATAAAATCAGTACATAATTTAAAATAAAACATGAATCAATTTAGATTAAAACAATTCTAAAATCATTAAACTATACAACTCAATAAAGTGCTAGTAGCATTAATTCCCGATGGCTGTGATTACTCAGTCCACTCTCCTCATAGTTGGTTCCTCGATCTTCTTTTAATTGTCCATCCGGCAGCTGACTCGAGCTGTTATTAAGAGTTCCGGGGAAACAAAGGGCTCTCTCTCACCTTTAGCTATCAGTTCTTAATTGTTAACGATGGTGGTTAACGGTGGTGGCGGCTCCGAAAGCCTGGCGGAAGAGCTCTGTTTTACAGGTCCCGTGGAACTGCATGAGGTCCCGCAGGGCCCTGATCTCCTCTGGGAGCTCATTCCACCAGAGTTGGAGCCACCACCAAGAAAGCCCTGGCCCTGGTTGTTGCCAACCTGGCCTCCTTAAGACTTGGGAAGGCCAGTCAGTTCTGGCCCCCTGATCACAGTGCTCTCTGGGGAACATGTGGGGAAAGGTGGTCCCTCAGGTACTACTAATTCTAGTAGTAACTCTTAAACATTTGGCAGAAGCTCTGTGTAACAGGATGCCTTTTTAAATGAAGACATTTGTGTAAAATATTCTCTACCGTACCCCTTCAGCCATGCAGTAAAGATCCTTGTGTTAGTTTGGTCGCTGCTGACAAAGCAACTTCTAAAAGAATCTGCACAGCCAGTCAGAGGGTCTTCTGTGCAGAAGCCCTATCTGATCCCCCTCAGTTTCTAGAAACGCTTGGCAGGTACCAGGAAAGGGGTCAGTGGGCACCACACTGCGGACCACAGAGAATTGGAGGCTGCCCAGGAAATCCAACACCATCCCATTTAATTTCTAGAAAAGAAATGTCTTAGTGTAGAAATTAATTCTTTGTTGGTCTGCAAATGCAAAAAGTCCTAGCCCCATGCCAGAACTGAGTGGGGGAAGGAGTTGAACAAAATCAAACAGAAGTAGAAAGAAATGATATTCCAGGGCTAATAATACATACGTCTTTATACACCTTTCTTTCAACATAGATTCACATAATGAATAATAGAATCAATGAAAATATCCAAACACAATTAAAATAGCATTAACAAGAATTAAAGAGTCACTGGGTCTGAATGACGTGCACCTGAGACATACTACGTCTCACAGCCATACAACCTGCTAAATACTCATGTATATATAGTAATAGGAGGGATCCATATGTGCCTGTCCTTCCAGTTATAGCTCCTCCCCCCTTTCACTGTATTTGGGCCACTGTTAGAAATAGGATTCTGGGCTAGATGGTTTTATGGGCTGATTAAGAATGGCTCTTCTCATATTATGTTTTTATAGAACTGATCCTGATTTTGAACTTCTACAACAAGACAGAGGTGAAGAGAACAATATGCCTCAAAGAGCAGAGTGCAGTAAGTAGGAGCAGCAGTACCTGAACATGCAGTTGACAAAGCAATTCTACTTAAACCCAGTCTTTGTAAATCTAGTTTACATGGTCTGCCCCTATCCCCCCTATCCATGCCAAAGTTCTAGTCTGCATGTTATGGAAAGTGCCATCAAGCTGCAGCCGACTTACGGTGATCCCATAGGGGTTTCAAGGTAAGAGACATTCAGAGGTGGTTTTGCCATTGTCTGCCAGTCCAACACTCTGTGTCACACAGTACCGAAAACCCAGGTGCCATCAGGAGGTCCCAGTGGGGCCAGGACACTAGAAGCCCTCCCACTGTTGCACTCCCCCCCCCCAGCACCAAGAATACAGACCATCACTTGCCCCAGCCTCAGAGTTTCTATCTATACCTTGTGGCTAATAGCCACTGATGGACCTCTGCTCCATTATGCTTATCCAATTCCCTCTTGAAGCCATCCATGCTTCTAGCCACCACCACCTCCTGTGGCAGTGAATTCCACGGGCTAATCACTCTTTGGGTGAAGAAGTACTTCCTTTTATCTGTTCTAACCCAACTGCTCAGCAATTTCATTGAGTGCCCACGAGTTCTTGTATTGTGAGAAAGGGAAAAAAGTACTTCTCTCTCCACCTGGTCTTTCCCATGCATAATTTTATAAACCTCGATCATGTCACCCCTTCGCAGTCATTTCTCCCAAGCACTTTAACTTTTCTTCATAGGGAAAGTGTTCCAACCCTTTTATTATTCTAGTTGCCCTTTTCTGCACTTTTTCCAAAGCTATAATATCCTTTTTGAGGTGTGGTGACCAGAACTGTATGCAGTACTCCAAATGAGGACGTACCATCGATTTATACAGGGGCATTATGATACTGGCTGATTTGTTTTGAATTCCCTTCCTAATAATCCCCAGCATAGCGTTGGCCTTTTTTATTGTAGTCGCACACTGTCTAGACATTTTCAATGAGTTATCTACTATGACTCCAAGATCTCTCTCTTGGTCAGTCTCTGCCAGTTCATACCCCATCAATGTGTATTTATAGTTAGGATTTATGGCTCCAATGTGCATCACTCTGCACTTGGCCACATTGAACCTCATTTGACACGTTGATGCCCACTCGTCCATCCTCGACAGATCCCTTTGGAGTAACTCACCATTTATTTATTTATTTATATCTTCAGTTTCTACCCCGCTCGAACCCCGAAGGGTCTCTGAGCGGCTTACAGTTCCAGATTTGACCCTAGCTAAGGCCACATATCTGCAGGGGTTGGGGCTGCCTACCGGTACCCAGGTGACAGGACTCACTGTTTTTCTCCTCCGTTGTTCTTTTATTCCCGGCGGTCTTTTCAATGTTATTTCTCATGCGGTCGCCGGTCCAACGGCTTCTTCTTTCTTTTTGGCGGGCCCGTCCGGTGTGTGGGTCGCATTGGCTTATAGCGCAGCTCTCGTCTGTTACGGCTCCGCTGCGCTTGCGTCACGACGCCACATCCCTCTGTGGCTCCGCCTCCGATTCCACCTCCGTCACTCCGCTTGCCTCGCTCCGTCGCTGCCATTTCCACCATCGCCGCCGCCGTTGCTTCCACTTGTTCCTGCCACACACCCCATACGGGGAGGGTGCCCCCTGCCACCTAAGGGCAAGTACCCATTCATCTACTCGCTTTATGTATATTTAATCCTCCCTGGCTCTCACCACCCTGAACAACTTCGTGTCATCTGCAAATTTAGCCACTTCACTGCTTACTCACAACTCCAAATCATTAATAAACAAGTTTAAAAGCATCGGACTGAATACTGATCCCTGCGGTACCCCACTGCTTACCACCCATCTATACTCTCACTCTCTGTTTCCTTTTCATTAGCCAGTTTTTGATCCACAAGAAGACTTGTCCTTTTATCCCATGACTATTGAGTTTACTTAGGAGCCTTTGATGAGGAACTATCAAAAGCTTTCTGGAAGTCAAGGTAAACAACATCTATTGGGTCCCCCTTGTCCACATGTTTGTTCACTCCCTCAAAGAACACTAACAGGTTAGTGAGACAAGATCTTCCCTTACAGAACCCATGCTGAGTCTGCCTCAATAGGTTTTGTTTTTAAATAGTTTCAAGTCCATGATTGCTACACAGAGGCAGCCAATGGCAAACCGCCTCTCGATGTCTCTTGCCTTGAAAACCCTATGGGCTCTCCATAAGTCAACTATGACTTGATGGCAAAAAAGCAGGGGGGTGGTTGATATTTTTAACATGCTGTGTTTGGGGGGGGGGCTGATATTTTTAACTTGTGTTAATCCACCAGTGTTCTGGGTCTCCTCACGCAGAGTATTCCTTACCATATAAATTACTGGGCACATGCATATTTTCTTAAATTGCATACTGTATGTAAGCCTGCAGAATTTGGGCTGGATTTCTGGTCTATGGTGGCGTGCCAAGCAGACTCATTTTCTGGACCTCCTGGGGGGTGAAAGCTGTGCACCAGCAGAAAGGGGGGGGGGGAGGAATTGCTACCTCCCACAGAGCCTGGTTGAAAGGCTCCTTGCCAGGGGACTTTTTTTGTATTTTAAAATTTTTATTTTGTTTCCATATATATACTCATACATTTCATCTACTCAGCTTACATACATATCAGAGTCTTTCCCTTCTTGTTTGTCTCTACCAATTGGGGATATTATTTTCCTGACAATTTTTCTATCCACTTATATACATTTTCCCATCTCTTCTCATGTACCTTTTCATTCTTATTCTGTAACATTAAGCTTAAGTCATCCATTCTGGCTAGGTCCAGTATCTTAACTATTAATTCTTCCCTCGTAGGTACAACTTCAGCTTTCCATTTTTGAGCTACTAGCAATCTGGCAGCTGTTATAATGTAGCTTAGTATATATGATTCTTGCTTATTATATCCTTTCGGGATCATATTTAACAAATATATTTCAGGTTTTATCACTACATTTTTTCCCAGACTTTCTTGGATTACCTTCCTAACCATCCTCCAGTTGGGTGAGCCAGAGGAGGTGGATAAAGAGGAAAAGGGCAGTAAGTCCAATGGCGAGCTGGACTCGGGGTCTTCTGGAGAAGACTCTCTGTCTGAGAAAGGGGCAGCAGCTCCTAAAAGTCTTTATAAACTGTGGAAAAGAAAGTATAAGAAAAAATGAAAGCTGAAGGACTCTGAATTGTGCCTTTGAAAATACTGTAGTTAATATTGAGATGCTTAGGAGTCTTTTTCCAACAGCTGAATTTAAGATTTAAAAGTTATATTAGCATATCTGACTAAGTTCATAAAATTGTTAGCATTTTAAGGGATGACATTGTGTACAAGCTAATTTGATGATCTCCTCTCTTGGGTTTTTAGTTAGTAGTGGTTATCTTTTCTTTCTCCTTAAATGTAGTCCCTGTCCCCTATTTTCATTGTAGTTTGTAGTCCTTATATAAAATGCAATAAAAAAAATCCCCTTTGGGGGGCCAAAAAAAAGAGAGAAAAAAGAATTTGGGCTGGCTGATACACACTCCCTGCTTAAATACAGTATACATAAGCTTTAGCAACCAATATCATAGCCATGGACAAAGCTTCTACTAGTTAGAAGATTTGTTCATGTGCCCAGAGTAGAAACACATCACTTTCACATTCTCCTTCCTTCCCTCCAAGCATCACTGCCAGACTCAAGCATTGTTTTTGTGCTTTGTTTCCTTCCAGGGTGTTTCAAGAAAAATTGCTGCAGAACGTCTCCACGAGTATTAGTCTTACTTGTTTCCATTGCCATCTTATCCCTGGTCCTCAACTTTGTTCTTCTTTTAAAGTCACCAGGTGAGTCTTCTGACTCCATTCTCAGTCTTTGGCTCTGTGTTTGTGTAGTGGTTAAGTGCACGGACTCTAATCTGGGAGAACTGGGTTTGATTCCCCACTCCTCCACTTGCACCTGGCTGGATGACCTTGGGCAAGCTGTAGTTCTGATAAGAGCTGTTCTTGAAAAAGAGCAGTTTCTGTCAAGAGCTCTCTCAGCCCCACCTACCTCACAGGGTAGGGTGTCTGTTGTGGGGAGGGGAAGGGAAAGGAGTTTGTAAGCTGCTCTGAGACACCTTTGGGTAGTGAATGGTGGGGTATAAATCCAATCTCCTCTTCTTCTTCTGTGTGATTCACAGCAATGTCTTTCTTTCTTTGGCTCCTACAGTTTGGCTCCTAATGCCAAGTTCATCCTCAGAGTATTCTGAGAACTGTTTCTCTTTGGCTTCTTCACTCTGATAAGCATCAGAATCAAGGAATCAGATGGCAGGGGACAGCTGTGGTTTCCTGTACTCCACAAGATTCTCCCTTGCACATGGCGTCTGCATTCAGATGCTTACTGAGGCAACATGGGAAGAGGCCTGGGTTGAAGTGGGGAAAGACACACTGAGGATGTAGTGATGGCCACAGGCATGTTGTTGTTGCAGTTCAGTCGCACAGTCGAGTCCAACTCTTCGCGACCCCATGGACAAGATCACGCCAGGCCCTCCTGTCTTCCACCGTCCTCTGAAGTTGGCTCAATTTCATGTTTGTTGCATCAATGACACTGTCTAACCATCTCATCCTTTGCCATCCCCGTCTTCTTTGACCTTCAATCTTTCCCAGCATCAGGGTCTTCTCCAGTGAGTGCTCCCTTCTCATTTGGTGGCCAAAGTATTTGAGCTTCAGCTTCAGTATCTGGCCTTCCAGGGAGCAGTCAGGGTTGATTTCTTTTAGGATTGACTAATTTGATCTCCTTGCAGTCCAAGGGAATCTCAAGAGTCGTCTCCAGCAACATAATTCAAAAGCATCTATTCCTCGGTGCTCAGCCTTCCTTCTGGTCCAACTCTGGCAGCCATACATTACTACTGGGAATACCATTGCTTTGACCATATGGACTTTTGTTGGCAGGGTGATGTCTCTGCTTTTTATTATGTTGCCTAGGTTTGCCGTCGCTTTCCTCCCAAGGAAATTTCATGGCTGCAGTCACTGTCTTCAGTGATCATGGATCCCAGGAACATGAATTCCTTCACTACTTCCATGACTTCCCCTTCTATTTGCCAAGGAGTGATGGGGCCGGATGCCATGATCTTAGTTTTTTTGATGTTGAGCTTCAAGCCCACTTTTGCGCTCTCCTCTTCTCCCCTGAGCCAGGGGCTCTTTAGGTCCTCTTCAGTTTCTGCCATCAGAGTGGTATCGTCTGCATATCTGAGGCATAGGGAAGAGGAAACTGGAAGACAAAAGCAAGGAATGCAACAATGAAGGTTTAGTAATAGACATATATACATACTAATTCTTTATTGAAAACAAAGTGGTCATGGGATAATGGAAAGAGCTCTCACTTGCTATAATTTGACACACTGCTGCTGAATACAGAGTATGAATTTAAGCTTGGAATTGGTGCAGATGTTACTGAAACTGTAATTTTTTTCTGTATAAACATTTGTAGCTGTATTTAACAGCAGGAAACTCAACTGGTATTAATGGTTATATTACCATTGCTTCCTGTACTGCTGAAGCCTAGCTTGTAGGATCTTGAGCATGACCTTGTTAGCGTATGAAATGAGTGCAATTGTGCGATGTACAGACAGGGGGATTCTTTTTTTCTGCAAACCTAAGGGAGCCCTCAGGATTGCAGAAAAATCCGAAAATTTAATAAAAACAAAAATGAAGAACTCCAACAGAGATCTTTTTACCCAGGCTTTTAATTAGAGGTTTTATCTTACCAGCTTTTAAATGGTCTGCTTCTGTTTTATGGATAGTTTTTATGCTGTTTATGCCCAATGGCTTGTTTTTCATGGCTTTTTTTCTATATTGTTATATTGTTTTCATTGTAAGCCACCCTGAGCAGGAAATAATCTTCTTCTTCTTCTTCTTCTTCTTCTTCTTCTTCTTCTTCTTTCTTCTTCTTCTTCTTCTTCTTCTTCTTCTTCTTCTTCTTCTTCTTCTTCTTCTTCTATCTAGAAGTAGAAAGGTATATATTTATGGAAGTATAAATTGTCTTGTGAGAAACAGAAAGCTGAAATCTGAAAGCTGGGATCTGAGCATCTATTCTCAAGCACTGCAGTGGGAGGATTTGGTCTTTATTTTTTAATAACTATTCCTTGCAGCTGCTTGGGGAACCTGGAGCCCACCCTTCAAAAAAAATCTAGTTTAGCCCATAGGAAGCTTTACATATGAGGATCTTTATTTAATGAAAATATTTATACCCCACCTTTCCCAGAGAAGGCTCAAGATTACCTCCACATTTTGCCTTCGGATGTTGGGGATATTGATTGATCTGACAAGAATATGCATCCTGATACTGGAGTTGGATCCAAATACCATGAATGCAGCAATATTGTATAATGACATGTTACTGCCTTCTGCCTCCCAGTGCAGCCTCCCCATGAAATTCTGCTCCTTGGATCCAGGAGACCCTAAGAAACAGTTTAAAGGGGGTGGCAGGGGGTAATTGGGAAAAATTGCCTCCTTCCTCCTCCAATGGAAGTGCTGTTATGCTGGTGGAAGAGAACCCTTTGATCTAGTCCAACCTATGCCCTTTCTTATTGATGAGTAGGAATAAAGACTTCCATTTCTTCTCTGCTTCACATTAACTGGAAAGTGCTAGGAGGGATGTCAATTCATTTATTACAGATTCTTATGCAGTTGGGGGTTTCATCATGGGAGAAAAAGATTTGGTGGTGTATTGTTTGATTCTGTTCCTTTCTCTGATATAGCAGCAAAGCAGCAGCTGGGATGTAGTTTGGTATCCCCACCACAATGTGGTCTGCCATGCCCACGTTATTGGATCGGATATGAGGGGAAGTGCTATTACTTTTCAAGGGAAAAACGGGACTGGGTCTCTAGCAAGCACTACTGCTCTTCACACAATGCGTCCCTGGCCAGGATTGACAAAGAAGAAATGGTGAGATGGGCAAATATTCTGTTTCCCCTAGACTGGTCCTTCTGAAGATACCTCTTACCACACACTACCACACACCACACAGTGTACACACTGAAGATACCTCTTACCACACACTACTGTGTACAAACATGCTACCAGGGAGATCCAACACCATCTCCCTGAGCCCAGCTAATACTCAGAGGCTGCAAACCATGCTTATAGCCACAAGCTCCAAGTCTCCCCTTTCCTGCCACTTCAAGGACCTCTGTTCAATCAGTAGCTTGTGTTCATTTACTGCTTTGCATTCTAATCCATCTCTTCTACTATTAAAGGATTTTGTGATGCGGCTCAAAGGCAAAAATATCCATTGGATTGGGCTCCGTAGAATCTTAAGGAAGGACTGGACATGGGCAGATGGAGAAAATGCCACGTGAGTAATTCTGTTTCCTTTCAGTGAGGCTTCAGTGTCTGCTTTTAGCCTGTCTGCTGTTCAGTGTTTATAGGATATATGTGATGATCAGTGTTGCCAGGATATTGTTGTACAAAATCTCAACATGAACTTGAAATTGAGAGTCAGGTCCAATGATAATGCTGAGGAGCATGAAGCACAGTTTCATTAGGTCTCTATCGTGGTTAGAGTGCTGGATCAAGGAGGCCCAGGTTCGAATCCCCACCCTACCATGGAAGCCTGCTGGCTGACTTTGGCCCAGTCACACACTTCAGCCTATTATACCTCACAGGGTTGTTGTGAGGATAAAATGGAGAAAAGAATGATGTAAGCCATGCTGGGCCCCCAGTGGGGTGTAAATGAAGTAAAAAAAAAAACCTTATTCACTGTATCACAAATAGGCTACTCCCCCCCCCTTTTATTGCCATCAAATCACAGCTGACATATGGTGACCCCAAGGCAAGAGACGTTCAGAAGTGGTTTGCCATGGCCTGCCTTTACGTTGCAATTCTGAACTTCCCTGGTGGTCTCCCGTCCAAACACTAACGAGGGCTGACAATGCTTAGTTTTCGAGATCTGATGAGATTGGGCTATCCAGGGCTATTCAGGTTAGAGGGGGGGGAGAGAGAGAGAGAATAAACTGTTTAATTTGCTTATTTATTTTGCAGGGCAGACAACAGTAGGTTGGCTGGTGGAGTACAAAGGGGGGGGGAGGAAGGAAGCAGGAAAAGGGGAGTGGCTGTGGGGGCTGCCAGGGAAAAGAAAGATACAGGGGAAAATGAGGTGCCCCTTGCAAGTCCTTGCAGGTTCCCCACTGCGCAACTGGGCCTTGCCCAGTGGCTGGCACTATGCAATTGGGTCACAGTTTTCCCAGGGAGAGATTGAGGGGTAGAGAGAAAGGGAAAGCTGAAGATGGGGGAAGATAACGGTAGGATGCTTGATGGATGAGGAGAAAGGGAAGCAGGAAAAGGGAAGAGGGTATGGGGGCTGTCAGGAGGCTCAAAAGAGAAATAGTGTGGGGAAGGAGGTATGAGGTAAAATGGGATGTCCTGCAAGTCTTTATTGTCCACCAGTTGTTATATCTAATTCTGAACTGAGCCTCTAGAGGAAGGATCAGGGATATGCACAATGAGGCCAGAGACAAAAAAAAGAGTCTCCCCCTGCACAAAACCGAGAGAGGCACTGTGTTTGCAGAAAAATGTGAAATCTTTAAAAAATGAGAAAATGGAGATAAAACCCCCCCAAAGATCAGAAGCAACAGCTGTAGCTTTAAGAAATGAATGCCCACTGAGATCTCATGAGACGATATTTTGATATCTTGACAGCTGTGTTGGGATTTGCTGGACAGCCACAGCTATATAGCTGTGCCTTCCAAGCTTCGGTTTCTGTCAGTCAAATCGGTGGGGGAAGACATTGATAAAGGTAAAATATGTATAGAAGGGAAGAAAACAGGGAAATAGAATAGAAGAAGAAGCTAAAGGGGAAACAGAAAAAGGTACTTAATGGGATCAGAGAGGAAAAAATGGGGAGCAACTGCCATGGGGATAAAAGATATAAAGGCTGAATACCAAGGTGGGCAGCTAAAGGTAGGTTGGTGAGAGGGGAGAAGGAAGCAGGAAAAGGGAGAAGTGGTTAAGACGCTTAACTGCAGGCTGTGGAAGGTCGGTAGTTCAGCAGTTCGAGACCCGAATTGCTGCATGACGGAGTGAGCTCCTGTCTCTAGTTCCAGCTCCTGCCAACATCTTTTTCTGTTCCAGTGTGGGTTTGGTACAACAACGGAGCAAATACTAGATGCGGATTGGGCCTAAGTATCACAAAACTGGTTGAATGCTCTAATGATCCTGTTTCAACTGTTCATGGCAATATAATAGATGTACAGTTTTTCATCCTCACATGACTATATACCTTACGCAAGTGCCAGCTAACTGAGAGTTGTCTAGTTCAACTGGCTGCTCACAGTCACTCTGATCATGGGCCTTTCATCACTGTGTTTATTTTGACATCATCATCATCATCATCATCATCATCATCATCATCAATCACCCACCTTGCAGAGCAGGCTCTGGCTGATTAACAACATTTTAGACATTTAAAAATACATTGACATATAATTAAAATTACTGATAGTAACAAGATATTAAAACCTATCAAGACGGCAATATAAACCTCCATTTCCAGTCACATCACTGTCCCTGCATGGCAAGGCAGGGAAGGATATATGGGGGCCATAGAATAAAAAAGATAGTATGAACTTGGCTTTGCCAGTGGTGGTTAGTTATTTTAATAGTTCCTGAGAAGTATTGTGGGCTCATTTAGAACAGGCCTCCGCATTCTTGATTTACACTAGTTAGGCTGCGATCATACGCATAATTAATCCTGACATAGGTGCGAATGCCGGATGGATTTAAAGGGCACAATCAGACTACAACATCTGGGAAACGCCCCGCAGCTGTCGACAACCCATTCTGTTCCGCCACAGAAGCGGAGTTAAAAGACACTGAGGAAAATCCAGTAGTAAATGGGTTGCGACGGGCCACGGACAGACTTTCCCATGTCTGATCGCTCCAGCGCACTCTCATGGCATCGGGATCAGGCCATCCTGACTCCGTGCCATTGTTCCCCCCCCCCCCCCCCCCCGCTCAGCCACTAAACCCAAAATCCTAAATGGGTCGGTGCGGAGATGCAATTAATCGATCCCTTGGTTAAGCACATGGGGAAAAAATGGCACACAACCCCCTCCGACTCACCTAAATTTGCATCTGATCACGTACTGACAGACTGCACCTGCAGCTTCAAAGGGAGGTGTGGTCATGCAACTGCGGGTCAAATTCCTCAGGAGGAAATAGCCTCGCTCCCCCCCCCCCAATTTTTCTGGCGCATGTGACCACAACCTTAGATGACTTTTAGAATAATCACAGGACTCCATACATGTGTAAAATAAGTTAGGATAGGGTATATATACACCATTTCTAGGAATGAGGATGAACCTGAAGTGATAGGAATTTTTCCTATGGGTTGCCTATGGGTTTTGAAGAAGCTGCATAGCTTTAGCTTTTATACTTGTAACTTTTATACTCCACCCCTCCAGAAAATCTGTATGTGGTGCATTTTTCCAGTGACCTCAGATATGCCTGCTGCTCTCAAGAAATGTCTGAATCTTACTTGACTCCTGTTTTTGTTGTAGGATGGAGGTCAATGGAGGAGGAGGAGACTGTGCGTTTCTAGACAACACAGGCAAAGCTGTTGCTTCAGGATGCCACACAAAATTACCTTGGATCTGCAGCAAGCCTGCTGCATGTACAACAAAGGACGTCACAGATATATAGGCAGGAGTGTCGGGTACGGCAAGAAAAATAGTTATGGCTCACCTGGGAAAATAATGCTGCTGTGACTTGGTACTGGTTGACTGGGGACAGTGCTGATGTCGAAGTCTACCCTGCTGTGAAACAACTGTGTTTCTTTTCTCAGGTTGCAAACGTCACACAGCAGTAAAGAGGAGAAGTGGTCAAGAAATGTTCAGATCCTGGTTTGAGTGACCTAACTAATTATTTAAACCCCATTTATACAGTTAATGTTATAAAGAAATCATAGTGTTTTTTTCCTCTCTCCTCTATTTCTGTAACTTTCCAAGCAGCACAGTGAACATGATCCCCAACATGATTTTGCTAGGCCTTTGTCTCAAGAGATATCTTTCCTCCATCTTACACAGGAACCAACATTTGCATTCATGAACCTAAAGAATTTGGAAACATTTAAGAAATAAAAAGATTGGTATGTGCCTGCCATAAAGTCAAGGAAGCCAGAATATTTGCAATACTAAAGGCTTGCCCACATGCAGAAACCCACATTTCACCTCCAGCCAGCAAACAGTGCCTGACTGTCTGACCTGAGTCAAGGGAACAAAGAACATCCTGAAATTGTAACATTCTTGTCTTTGTCATTTAAAGATTTGAATGCTATCTTGCATTGTTTTGCAAAGGAGCATCAGGGTGCCCCATTGCCTCTGGAATGTGTGAACATTTCCTAGGCCATGATGGCCCACAGTTAACAGGGCAGTTAGATTAATTGATGCAGTTTATAATTTCTATGGCTCTATCGAAATGTATGGGACCAATATGGTATAAAAGAAGGCCAGAAGCTTCATTTCAGCACTGATTCTCAGAGATCCAGAGAAGGCTTTGCCTTTCGTGATCTCTCTGGGCCAGTCCAGAAGCTTCTGCTGCATGGGAAAATCTTTGTTCTAAATATAGATAACCACTGACTGTCTTTCTTTTTTTGAAGTAACTATTCTGTTTTGTATTTCTTGCATGTATTTAGCTAATAAACTATTTATTGTTTAAATAACCTTGTGTTGCATTCCAGCTAACTTTCTTTTAACATTCTACCCACTTTGGTAAGGGGCACTCACCAGACCATTACGAATCTAGAGGTGCAGGTAACACTATACAGACTGACAAGAGCTACAGGTGCATTCTTACGACAATATGTTGTAGATAATTATATTATAGTTAGTGGATTGGCCCTCTTTCAGACAACTAACCATAATTACTTGAATTAAACCCTGATTTTACCTGATGTGGAACTGAGCCATAATCTCCTGATCACAAGAATCCAAGAACAGTCAAAAGTTTAGAAAAGACTTGTAGTCAGGCCGTAAAAGCCTGGGCCTACCAGCATTAATGAAGTACAGATATTGGACATCTCAACAGCTACTGTCCTCAATTTGTGTCCTATGTCACCCCACCACATCTTCATCTGCTATCATAGCAATACAACTACAGGAAATTAAGCAAAAGTTATATTCTTGAGATCATTTTTACACAGCAAGACTTTCCATTGTAATTTTGATATTGTGAAGCAGTCATGCTCATATACACATCACTCCATCCTGTACCACATTTGAAATTATTCGTATCTTAGAGTAAGAAATGAAACTGGTAAACAGTGGAGAGGATTCACATTGTTGTTTCAGTATGCTGTAACTTCATGGAAAATTGACCACAAAAGTACTGATGATTATTAGTCCTTAAAATTATGTCATAGCAAACTAAGCTGTAAAATCCGGGGTGATGTTCTAAGACACTAGAAGGAAATACTGAATGAGGTCTACCTTTTAACCAATGGTGTTTCACATTTCCCTACTTTTTTAAATAAAGGAAAATACCGCAAAAACTAAAATGTTCAAAGGATTGGATGAGAATATAAGATGTCTGAACTCCAGACAAGTTCCCAAGAGTTTTACAACACAGAGGTCTAATGATAGTTTTCTGATCAGTTTATTGACGTTTACCGTATGTATCCCTTGATCTTTCTTTTCTTTCCTGATTATGCGAATATTATTGCACTATTTATTTATTTATACATTATTTGTATTCCACATTTCTCAGTGAGATTCAAGGTGCATTACATAGTGTAAGTCAAATACAATCAACAGGGTGGGACATCCAATGAATGCTGTAGGATTTGGATTGCAGAAAGCTGAAAACAAGCACACATCAAAAAATACTTTTGATTTTGGATAATTGGGATTGTTTGAAATAAAAAGACCAGTCTTGGTAAAATCTTCGTTTTTATTGTAGCTATCCTTCCCATCAGGGATATTTGTAAGGTTTTCCATCTTTCCAAATCTTTCTTGATTTCCAACATAACATTTTTGTATTATTGAAGTTAATTTTCAATCCAGCCACCTGGCCATAGTCCTGTAAAGTTTTTAAAAGTTTCATAATAGGGACCAATAGATTTTCTAAAATAAAAACCAAATCATCTGCAAAAGCTTGTAATTTATATTCTTCTCCTTTTACTTTGAGTCCTTTAATATATGTGTCTTCTCTAACGATATTGTTCAATATTTCTAGCACTAGTATAAATAGTAGTGGTGAAAGTGGGCATCCTTGTCTGGATCCTTTTTGTATTTCAATATTTTGTGTTAAATCTCCATTAACAAGGACCCTCGCTTGTTGCTTGGTATAGATTGCTCTAACCATTGTAAAGAATTATTTGCCGCATTGTGAAATTAATAGTTGTTGCAGCATGGAGCGCGGTGTGACAGTAGCTCGAAAGAGCGCTGGTCACTTCTGGGTTCGTTTAAAGGGTCTTTTGATGATTTGGAGACCCCCCACTCTCCTGGGGAAAGGAGTGGTGGGTTGCTAGGGGCTTGATCCAGTCCCCTGCATCGTGGCAACTCACAGGGAGCACCAGGGATCACCCCTGATGCTGGATCTGAAGTAGAGCCTGACTCAACAGGCAAAGCCGCTGCTTTTTGCTCCGAGGGGGGGTTAGAAATCACCACTCTGAATAGACGCATGGTGAACTGTGAGTAACATCTGGAGGGGGGATACATTGAAGGGACTGTCATATCTAAAGCCTTTAAAGCCCCCAAAGTGTTTAACAGCATGGGAGGGAGATTTTCCCCCTCAGTTAAAGCGGCCAACAAAAGAGAACAGACAGAAGCATTTTACTTTCACTTTCTGCTCTGGGACGATGTTTGAACAGAAAACCTAGAACCTGCTATAGTAAAAGCTAAAACATACCCTAAGAGGATTTGGGAAACATAGAGACCATATTTCAACGTACCCAATTATTCCCTTCAGCTGGGGAAGGGCTAGGAGGTTCAGAAAGCCCTTTACAAATGTTTGTTGGTCTCCAAAACAAAATATATTGGCTGGCAACATTTGAATGACAGAGGGTTGTTGCAAAAGGGAAAAGCTGTAGAGACTTAAAGGTGGAGAGTGCCTAGAAAACTAAAACATACCCTAAGAGAATTTGGGAAACATAGAGACCATATTTCAACATACCCAATTATTCCCTCCAGTTGGGGGAGGGCTAGGAGGTTCAGAAAGCCCTTTACAATTTTTTTGTTGGTCTCCAAAATGAAATATATTGGCTGGCAACATTTGAATGACAGAGGATTGCTGCAGAAGAGAAAAGTTGTAGAGATTTAAAGCTGGAGAGTGCCTAGAAAGCTGTAATTGCTTCTAATGTACTATTGAAAGGCTTTTGGCTGGAAAAATCCCCCCCCTCACTGGGCTGAGAAAAGTGGATTTGGCTGGAGGGTGAAGAAAGGGGGATTGACCATGAACAGCATTCTTGCGGTTTCTATTAGAAAACAAGAAAGTGAAGAAAACCCAAATATTTAACTTAATTATTGTAAGCAAACTCTGGGAAGGTTGCCAGTGGAATATTTGTGTGTTTAAAAACAAGTGCTGGACAACCAGCCAGTAAGCCTGGACCTGCAAAAACAATTCACCTGAAGTGGCAACAATAATTAAAGGATAAAGAGGCAGAAAAAGGAAGCAGAAAAAGGGACTGGGACTAGTACCAGCTATTGAAAAACCGGCTAAACCTCTTAAATCTATTGAACCTATTTGGTTGAATAGCAAGATGTCATCACAAGGCCAATCAAGTCAATTGAAGAAAACAACAACAACAACATCCTCACCAAGCACATTAACAGCTGGAACATCCAAATTGTCACTGCCTGCACAAAAGGAGATGCAGGCAGTGGTGCAATCATCTATCCAGACTAGTATAGCTGAGGCAATCCAACCAATCAAAATTACTATGGATGAAGTCAGAAATTCTATCCAGACAGCGGTAGATCCCATTAAAAAAGCAATGGAAGACATAATGGAAAAATTCTCTATTAGCTTGCAGGCACTCCAGAAACAAATAACTGATAATACACAGAAGATAACTGAATTGAACGCTTCTACAGCCAATATAGAAATTGAAACACAAGGAATGGAAGATAGGATAAAAGAGACTGAATTAAATAATCAACGATGGAACAAGATATAACAAGACTACAGGTGGAAAGAGCAGCCTTTATCTTATGATTTCAAAATATTCCTGAAGAAAAGAATGAAGATAAAAATGCAGTTTAAAAAGATAGTTGTTGCAGCATGAAGTTCCAGCTGACATTATCAAACACTTTTTTAGTATCCAGAAAAATCAAAACCATTTGTTTCTCCGGATGTGCTTCAAAGTATTCAATTACATTCAATATAGTCCTTACATTGTTTCTAAGTTGTCTTTTTGGTAAAAAACCTGCTTGGTCTTGATGAATCAGAACTCTTTTCAGTCTTGTAGCTAGAACTGAGGCATAAATTTTATAGTCCACATTTAATAATAAAATTGGTCTATAATTTTTAATTTCTTTCTCATCCGTATTTTGTTTATGTATCAAAGTTATTAAGGCTTCATTCCAGGTTTCTGGAATTTTATCTTCAGTTATTATATTTTGTACAAGTGGAGACCCGCAAGAAACTTGCGGAATGGTTATCCTGTTCCTCACACCTTTGCTTCCTCCTGTCTCCCTCTACCTGTCAGAAGCATAAATTTTATAATTCACATTTAATAATGAAATTGGCCTATAATTTGTGATTTCTTTCTCATTAGTATATTGTTTATATATCAAGGTTATTAAGGCTTCATTCCAAATTTCTGGTATTTTGCCTTCAGTTATTATATTTTGTAGTACCTGTTTTAAAGGTAGTATCAATTGATCTTCAAAGGTTTGGTAGAATTCTGCCAGAAGGCCCTCAAGGCCTGGAGTCTTCCCCTTTTTTCTGTTTTTTTTTAATGCTTCTGTTAATTCAGAAAAAGTTA